TCGCTAGTAGGTTGGAGGCCATCGCTAGTAGGTTTGAGGCCATTGCTAGTAGGTTGGAGGCCATCGCTAATACGTTGGAGGCCATCCCTATTGAGTTGGAGGCCATCGCTACTAGGTTGGAGGCCCTCGCTACTAGGTTGGAGGCCATCGCTAGTAGGTTTGAGGCCATTGCTAGCAGGTTGGAGGCCATCGCTAATAGGTTGGAGGCCATCCCTATTGAGTTGGAGGCCATCGCTAGTAGGTTGGAGGCCATCGCTATTAGGCTGTAGGCCATCGCTATTAGGTTGGAGGCCATCGCTACTTGGAGGCCATTGCTTCTAGGTTGGAGGCCATCGCTTCTAGGTTGGAGGCCATCGCTAGCAGGTGTCCTTTCTTTATTTGCTTCTGTCTTCTCTTGGATCTTTGCTCTCTTTGCTCTCCAAGCTCTCCCTCTGAAATACCCTTCAGGCAGGGAGCTCGTGGATCAGCATGGCTGGTCTTGTACAAAGTGCTGGTGAAGGGCACAGCTCAAGACTAAAGTTGACTAAAGAATACTAAAGAGCTTTTAACAGACTAGAGCGATGAATATGACGAGATGAGCTGATCGTGGATTGGAAAGGATGCTTTAGGAAGTCCAAGGGTGTCAAAGGATCATCGTTCTTCGTTTTATGGAGTCATTCTCTTAGTGTGAGAGTTGAACTGGTTGTAAAGTCTTGGGCTGTTTCCAGCTCTAGCAGTCTGCGCTTCAAGCCCTTTGCTTGGAATGCTGGCACTAATGTCAGATCCGTGATGGTTCGGGCTCCTGTGCGCATTGCAAGAGACGTACCAGGTGGAAGCAAATAAGAATTCTCTCACAATCCTGATTGGAAGTTGTTTGAATGTGACCTTAATTGGAATTGAGGCTTTGCGATGTGACTTTGCAGCGAATCTTGCCATTTGCAAAATGCATCGACGGAAGCCAAGTCAGGAGCGACACTGTGATCACGATCCCAAAGTGGAGCTTCCTGCGATGCAATAGCTCTTGGCACTCTAGTTACCTGGCTCGTGCGCCGCTTTTGGTCGTATTGTTTGGAGTATAATGTTACAAGATCTTATTCCGGGGCACACAGCAACCAACGACTTTGTCAGAAGAAGGAAGACTTAATGAGTGTCACTTCCACCCCAGCCCCAAACCCGGCTAACACTCCCAAAATAATGATGGGTAAATCGACCGAAAGATGTTGCACACAACACGGCCAGAACGGAAGGTTGCAGTGATGCAGAGACTGCAAAACAGAGCAATAAACTGATATTGAATGATATGAAGCGTGGTATCCTCGTATTGTCTCCAACATATGTCACATGGATTTTGGAGGTTTGCAGGACGTCCTTATGTTGCTTTGCCTTTGCACACCACAACACCTTTGCATATCAGCAGGAACACTCTTCTGAGATGCTGATGCTGTTGATTGCCGCAAGCTGTTTTTCAGCTGTGAGATCTATCTCTCCGACAAGGCCATTCCGCATCGAATTCGGACGAAACAGGAGCTACTAGTGGCGTCCTTGCTACTAGTAGCGATGCCCTTGTTACTAGTCTGTAGCGATGCCCTTTGTTCCTCGAAAGAGAAAAAAAACACAAACTTAATTTACCAGGCTACCGCCTGCAGCCGCCGACCCCAAGGGAAAATGTAGTGGCAGGGTTGGGTCCCGGGATGGTCGCGGGCGGGGTCCTGCCAAAATCTAGACAAAGCCAAGAGCATTCCTACGAAAATGCTGGAAAAGCCGTATAGGCATGAGTACAGCAATGGAAAAAATAGGTTAGCAAAAGGTTACCAATTTTTTGGGGAAATCTGGGAACCTAAAAACAAGAGGAAGCGCTAGAAAATTCTTGGAACAGCATCCAGCCGAAAACGTAACAAAATCTAGACAAAGCCTAGAGCATTCCTAGGAAAATGCTGGAGAAGCCTTTGAAAACCCCATAAATCCAACAGAAAACGTGACAAAATCTACGAAAAAGCAAGGGCATTGGCCGGGACCACGCCGCGACCAGCCCGGGATTCGAGCCCGGGACATGGCAGAATCTTGGACAACCCAGGTCGCCATCAGGTCGCAATCAGGTCGCAATCAGGTCGCAATCACGTCAAATCCCGTAGCTATCACGTCGCTTTTAGGTCGGGATTTCGTCACTGCAACAAGGGTCCGGAGGGGTAGGGGAGGTAAGGTCTAGGTCTAAGGCTAAGGACTAGGTCTAAGGCTAAGGATAAGGCTAAGGCTCAAGTCTAAGGCTAAGGCTAAGGCTTAAGGCTAAGGCTAAGGCTTAAGGCTAAGGCTAACATCGACAGTCACGCCTCACCCCACGGTGTGGGGTCGGCGGACTTAAATTAGTTTAATTCTAACTACTTTTAATTATTGTTTCTACTAGCTTCTTGTTCCCAGTAGTGAGGCACTTGTTACTAGTAGCGATGCCCTTTGTTCCTAGAAGGCATTTTTCCCACTTCTCAAACGCCGAGTTTGTTGGACATGCGTCTCGAAGGCCCAAAGTGCATGGCGCCACACCTTGATGTGTGAGACTGAGTGGACACAAGGATTCGACATCAAACCAAACATAAAAAGAGCTGTAAGACGGGACATGAACGGTTGAGGTGACTTGTTAGGTGGTTTCTTTGCAGTTTTTGCTCGTATTTTCTTTGAGGTTGCTGGCATGTTGAAAAAGAAGGGCTATGAAGAGCTCAGCAAGATAGGCAAGCGGCAAGCGAGGATGAATACAATCGAAGATGCTACAGATGCAAACGATGCCCGTTGGAACTTCAGGAGAAGGAGCGTTTGGCAAAGCAGTGCTGGTGTGGAACCTCGGGAGCGCTGCGCGGTGACGTTTGCAAACGCTTGCTGACGGCTTTGCAAGGTCAGAAGCAAGGAGGGAGGGCAGATGGTGTGCTGTCCTCAAGATTGTACTAGACGCTTCAGGCTAAGAAGCGATGTTTGCCACAGGTGCAAGATGGTGGACATTAGCAAAGCAAGTGCTAAGGACTGGCAATTTGCCATTAGAAGGGCTTAAGCATATCTGGCTTTTGTCTAAATTTGGTGAATGCCACTTGCCTTGCTTGCCCTACTTAAATTGTTTGGCCGACTTGTGATGGGTTTGAATTTAGGTTCCAGTCACATAAGACGAGGTTTAAGAATTGTTTAACACTTGTTCAACAATTGTTCAACAACACAGACGGCAAACTGTTTTGTCTTTTACCAAATTGAGGGTGTATTCAGAATCGGATACTGCTGGAGGAACAGCGCGAGGCTTTGGCAGAAGGACAACTGTTGGGCTCTTTGAAACACCCGCCAGCTCCCTACGGATGTTCTCAGTCTCATCATTTGAAGTTATTGTTGCTTTTGCGTATCTCGTTCAACATGCTCCTTGTTGCTCAGAGTGCAGCAAGAAGTCTCGTTGAGAGACATGTCCATGCTCTCAAACTCATATCCAAACGGATTTGTAAACGATCGCGTGCCGAACAGTTTTGCTTGCAGTAGTGTTTTATGCTCAATGCATTCAAAACATTATCCTTTAATTCAGACGATTCCAGGCATCTCATGGCATCTCCCATTCACGGAGGTACATTGTTCGCTACAGAGACAGCTTCACAGAGTCTGGTTGGCAAGGGACCCAGACAGCTGAGATGCAGAGCCTTGGGGAAAGGCATACAGCGGTCCTGAAGTAGCTCCCCGAAAGAAATCCTTTGAAAAAGGAATCCGGGGAACATGAGCTCATCTCGTTTTCCGAACTTTTGAAAGGTTCTGCCTCCTCATGGACTACTGCGAAGGCACACAAACGACCCGTTGGATTGCTGCTTGACGCTTTTTAAAAACAGATCGATGCTAGGTGGGGACCTTTCAAAGCAGATCGATGATGCGAGGAGGACCAAATGGTGACACCAGTAGGTTGGAGGCCATCGCTATTAGGTTGGAGGCCATCCCTGGTAGGAGGACCAAATGGTGAGACCTCAGGGACTGGAAAAGTATTTTCTGCACAGAGCCTGACAGACCCCGGCTTTCGAGCTGTGGGCAGCTGTGCGAGGAAGCGTCAGAACATCCCCGAATCGCAGGCAACCCTGTTGCAAAAGACCATGAGAGGTCTCTTCGGTTTCAAAGAGTGTTGCATCCCACTGAGATCCTTTGCTGGTTCACGCAAGCAATGCTCGCCTTGAAGTACATCCATGAGAGGCCAAGAACGAGTATTGACAGAAGACCATGAGACCAGTAGAAATGATTTAGAGGAATGAGTAATGCCAGCCAGTCAGGCATGTCTTGCACCGGGATTTGAAACCGGGGAATTTCTTCATCAACAATGGCTGAGATCTTAGATATTCTGAGACCCCTCTACAGTGTGCTTGAATAGCGCACAGCTTTCGAAGGTGCCTTGAAGATGGGCGATTTTGGAATTGCCAAAGTGTTGTCATGCACTTTGGCTTGTGTCTGGGCCATGGATACATTTCCAGCTCTAAACACCGTAGCGGTTTGATCCGTGTGAGGCTCGCACACAGATTGGCACACCTTACTATCTAAGTCCAGAGGCTCGGCATGGCTTGGCTGTTTGCTCCTAGTAGCGATGCCCTTTGTTCCTAGTAGCTTCTTGTTCCTAGTAAGGCCAGGAGCCCCTAGTAGCGTCTTTCCTCCTAGTAGCAATGCCAGGAGCCCCTAGTAGCTTCTTGTTCCGGTGCTCTTAGTTCGTCAAAACAAGAGCTCTCAGGTTTGTGATGAAGAGCCATACGTGAGGACCCGAGGAACCTTGGAATGAGGTACTCAGTTTCAGACTTTCTTGAGCCTATCATATCTAAGAACGATTTGAGCAAAATGTTTCGGTTGACTCCAGTCCATTTACACAAAAAGTTTTTTTTTGTCCAGACACAGAGGCCTGGCCATCTGATATTTGGGCGATGGGCTGCATTCTCT